AGAGCTTTAAAATCGTCCCTTTACGGTAAAAGAAAAAGAAAAAGAAAAAGAAAAAGAAAAAGAAAAAGAAGATTGTCGATTTCCCGGGCCCGTGTCGCTGAATGGTGCACAAATGTGTTCCCCCGAGGCCCCATCTGGAAATAGGGTTGGATTGAGCGCCTGAATCTAGACGTGTTCGGAGAAAGGTGCAGAGATTCTAGGTGCACAAATGCGTTCACCAGTACGACAGTGTGGCGCACAAGAAGCGACTCGTGTCACTCCTTTTTTGTGCGACATCTCAAAAGTAGTGGTATATGACAGACCACCGGCCTCAGGGCATACTCACACAAGCACTTCCCAAAATGCAGCAGACCTCAATTTCGGCCACACCTGTATGCATCTGCCCGCAATTCCATCCAGAAATAAGTAAAAAAGTCCTAGTGTGAGTATGCCCTCAGTTGGTACACCCCTAAACCCTAAACTGTTGAAATCCAGACTCCAATTCTTTTTTTCTTTTTTTTTTTCAAAAGGGCGATGGCCTTGAGGTGTTATCATCGGACTAACCAGCCCAGCCCAGGCTGGCCTTGATTGCCTTCAGGAAACTAGACACTATCAGATTTAAAGTATAAAATCGATCCGTTCAAGGAGCGTGGCGCACAAGAAGCGAACGCGTGTCACTCCTTTGTGCGACAACTCGAAAGCAATCCCCTGATTAAAAAAAAAAAAAAAAAAAAAAGCTATCTCCTGATGAGGCCACTACTGGCATCGATCGGCCGAAACTACAGTAGGGGATCGCCAGTAGCCTCTACTCTCCACAGCACACAGGACATCCATCACTCATGGCTTACGGCCAGGGCGGAGCCGAAGCCATAGCCATAGCCTAAGCTATGGCTTACACACACACTCTCTGCATTATCTTTCTCTCATTCTGTCTGAGAGTTAATTTCGCGATTTTTTTATTTTGTTTTTATTTATTTTAATTTATTTTGATTTATTTTAATTATTTTAATTTATTTTAATTTATTTTAATTTATTTTAATTTATTTTAATTATTTTAATTTATTTTAAATTATTTTTATTTAATTTTAATTAAACTGATCAGCACAGATACATTGCACCTGATCTATTTTTAGCAAAAAGGCCTTCCGCACATGTGTTTGCCGTGTTATGCACGGTTTAGCGGTCAAGTCAGACTGCCTGTCTCTCCCGCATGACAATCCCAGGGGCGTGGCGCACAAGGAGCGACGCTGCTGTTGTCACACGCCTTGTGCGCCACGTCCCTGGGGTTGCTTCTTTTTTCTTCTTTTTTTTCTGGGGTTGCTTTGGAGTTGTCGCACAAGGAGAGCGACTCGAGGATTTTTTTATATTAAGAAAGAAAAGAAAAGAAGAAAAAGAGGAGATACGTAATGGCAGGAGAGAGTGACACGTGACGCGATCCTTGGGTTTGCTAGATTGTGTGACACGTTGCGAGACCGGTTTTTCGAGGAGTCGCTCGTGTGTGTGACATGTGGCGCGATCTGAGGGGTACTTGAGGTTCGATGGCTAATTACGTAGCAATCAAATCATAAGATTTTTTTTTTTTTTTTAATCATAAAAATGAGATTACGAGAAGTAAAAAAAAAAAAAAAAAAAAGCTTAAAAAAAGACGAAAAGCATGCTACCAGTAGAGAGTTGAATTAACACCATTTCTCGATTCAAGTGTTTTCTTTTTTTTTTTCTTTTTTTCCCTAATCAGTTTCTCCGAAAAAGAAAAAAGAAAAAAGAAAAAAGAAAAAAGAAAAAAGAAAAAAGAGGGTTTCTCATCACGTGTGACTATATTGATTCACCTTGGGGGACGTCCCTGACTTCACGAATCTGGACGATGGTTTGATTTTGTGTTGACGTGCATGCTGACGACTACCATCTACTTCCCCCAAATAGAACGCACCCTGATAAGGACTGTATACAAGCTATATCTCTTTCCGGTCTGCTGCAGTCATGATGAGGGGGCGTTGTGTTCGGGGGAAGACGATAGCTGTTGCTCTACAGTTGGTTCTACATTTTGCATGCTC